GCAGAGCAGTGTAAAACAGAATGCGAAAGCGCTATAATGGCTCGATGTTCTGTTCTCGGTCGTCCATGCTGAATACTCCGACTTTAAATAAGTGAACATTCATTGAGTTTTAGTTTTAGTTTTCACTTTGAGTGCCGGGTTTCAGTCCCATAGGTGGCACAAAATTTTCTTTCTGAATTAATAATTTCCATGAGCAGGGAATTCATCCCATTGTGTTTTGGTCAAACAGTCAACTATTGTTGACTTGCGAGTAATAGGAACAGCATGGCGTCCAGGTGTTGTCGTATCAGAGTGTACGACACGTACAACCGTGCCATCTGACGCGCACATCTTACTGCTGCATTCTTCTTGATCGGTGTGACAGCTTACTAATAATCAGCAACGGTTTAATGCTTAAAAGTAATTAATTTAAACGCCCTAGTGACAGAAGCTACTAATTTTAAGCCGGTTCAAAGAGTGCGCTCATGTTCAGTCAGCTGTAATAATTATTAGTAGCAGACCGAGTGTATCTTGGTCTGCATGATGGTTGATCTGGTCATCTGTAACCAACCCTGGATGAGACTCTAATCATGCGGCAAATTTCAAATGCAATTGCCAATGTTCTCTCATGCAACCAAGTGTTAAGTATTGATTGGAAGTGTTCTTACCCGTTCAAACAGAAGTAACAGATATGATTTAGGCAAGGAATATGGAACTCTGGTGCTCTTTCTCAGTGATGGTAAAAAATGTAAGTAACTCGGTATTCACGTGAAGCCCTGAGGAGAAGTTATCACGTGGAGGATTTGGTTTCTTTATCATCAATCCAATGGAAAATGAGCTTGCACTACGGAATCCTCCTATTGCTGGTACGGATATCAACCACGGCTTAGGGCTACTCTATATTATAAACAGTATTTTAAATAGTGACGATCTAAAAACACCATCGATTTGTTAAGTCAAACGGTTTACCATAATTAAATTACTTTGAAGATTGAAGAAAATAATAAACAAATCTTTGCAAGTTCTATGCTGTCTTTTATTTCTTTTGGTACTTCAAATTTTTCTGGTCCAGGTTATCGTTGCGGCGCTGTTCTTAAATGCTAAAAGTTTGACCATATTTTGTCATTTGCACTAACTTCAGTACCTAAAGTCGAATGACACTTTCTGCGCTTAGTCAGTGTTTATGATCATTGCAGTCCAAAGAGATCCTCAGCATTTAATGCCAAAAGTTTTTCGCCAACTGCAATCATGATTTAACTTCAATATGGCAGAGAAACTTTGAAATTTCCATTCATCTTTTCTTGAATACCAATTATCATGGCTTGATTTCGTTTTATTGAAGGATGCCGCATTCTTCACGCCTTTGCGGCCTCGCTCATAGAGATATTTCTTGAACAAACTGCGAAATAATCAACATTGGACATTCATCTAGTTCCATTAATTTCACTTTAATGCATTGCTTTGCACTCGCCCTATTTTTATTTATCTCAGAGAGTGAGGTGAATCGTCTTCTGGTAAAAGAAATGTCAGTAATATCTGTCCTACCAGCCTCATTTCTTTTCAGTTCCGTCAGCATTCTTCACTCTTTCTAGAAATCTCTCTATCCATCGAGAGGCAATATATTCATTTCTTCTCTTCTATCACTATAGCACTTCGTTCTGCACTTTCTCCATTTTCAGTGTTGATTTATGCAGAAGTCTTCGATATTAGGTATCTCTCGGACGTTAATCACCTTCGACTAGCAGTTTTCTTGGCAGGACGAAGGTCAAAAATTCACAAATGTCTGGAATTGCAAGAGTGTGAATGATCCAAAAACAGTTACTGCTTCGTTGCCTTAAGCAGCCAGCCTTGATCTATTTATTTTTAAATCCCGTATTTCTTAACGAGTCGCTGAGGTAATAGCTTGAGACTCCCCCCCATCCACCGGTGATTCCGGTTCTCCTCCAGTCGTTCAATCTCCATGAGAGGGATTCTAAGGCGCGAAATTGCCAGGTACTTGACTTCTAAAACCATCTGATAATTGGTCTGCCCCAACAGTAGCAGTCATGTCTTTGCGAAAGAAGTTTACGTCTTGCAAGTCCTGTCTTATAGCTCTGATTACAGTGTATACTGAAAACATTTCAATTATACTAAGCCAACCGACACAATTTATTCTTTTTACTCCTGACAGCATACATGACTTTCATCTTCCTTTCCCCGGGATTCACGCATTTCAACATTACTTCTCAGTTATCTGTTGACCTGACCACTTTGCACCAACGGTCCGCATTGGATAAACGGGTTACTTACGTTTGATTTTCTTCAGTAATCGTCCCGAGTGGTAAGAATTCGTGCCTTCAAAGACTAACCTCCGCACATTAGCATAGAAATTTTAGCGGAACCCGGAGCTTCCAGTAGATAGACGGGAATAAAATTGTGCCACTTTTCTTGCACATATATTGATTTTTTAAATATATATCGTGATGAAATCTGAGCTCAGCGTCTGAGTTTTTTTTACTCAGAAATCGAGACTCGCAGCAATGGTAAAACACGTTTTTCGTACGCAGATTCGCCCTGACGATAAGTACTGGTGATTCGGTTAAGGTTTCGAGCCTACAGCACTGCAACGTTGTCAGTTTCGTGGTAGTCGATTGCTCACGTATTCGTTTGTTACTGTTAATGCAGATGCATCACTTTCGCTTGTGCAACTAAAATTCGTACGCTTGCACGTAGCAGCCTCGGTTCGTAACCGTCTCGTAACGGTTGCAGAGCGACCCACCACTGTTGCGTCAGAGAACGAGTAGCAATAACGAAGGAAAGTAGATCAACCAGAGAATGCAAAAAGCGAACAGAGTGAAAATGAGGCAATGATCATCGTTCTCGACTGGTCTGGCATTTCCGCTAAAGCGGCGGCAATGCCTGACGAATTTTTGGTGCTGAACTTTCGGCTGGAAAATTGCAGTTCTGACCGATCTCAGTCTGTCCCGTATGCGGGATGCAAAGAGGAAGGGGAGACTGAATGCGCATACCGTCGCGGTCAGTGCGTCTCCAGGCGTTAAAGCGCGGCTCGTCGTCTTATGCTTTTACTCGACACTCGTAGTTTAGTTGACTCAACGAACCCTGATTGAATTTTCGGCTCTCCCGTCAGCTCGTCTGCAGAACTGACGATTCGTCTCGCATCGTGTATCGATTAGATCGTCTTGGACGAATTATAATCAGATAGCATCAGATAGCCTATGTATATTTGTTTAGGATCTACTGGACTTGAATACGGTCGATCTGTTGCGACTCGGCATTAAAAATAGCGCTCACCGGTGCCGCATAATCGGCAGCCTGCGCATCTTACGGGAAAAAGATAGGAGAGGTAATGTCTGGTCTGCTTACTCGAGGCGTCTTTTCGGTCAGTGTTCCCGGTATTTTGTTTGTTTAGCTCCCAACTGCACGAAAACCAATGTCAGTGAGGCTGTGACCGCCCGAACGCTATTTACGAGAACCACTGGTGACTCCACTGCTCGAGGCAAAGACGACAGTCGCCAGGACGCCATGTCAACGTATGACATTATTTTTCGTCCCGTTGTCCATTTCTGCGCGAGCTCTCACAACTGTTTGAGCTTTCAGTCTAACGAGGGTCGGCGAGGAGACGATCGAAGAAAATTATTGGTACCATGGAGCAATCGGCAGGGCCAGAGCCGAAGCTTTGGTGCTGTATTCCGGCGACTTCTTGGTAAGTATACGAACGTCAAGGTTAAGGACGATTCTGAAAATTTCAACGCCTATCTACTTTTCACTGATCGATTAACTTTTCTTCATTGTGCTAGGTTAGTTGGAGAATATCTTACAGATATAACGCGATAGGAGGCCGTATATGAAATTAGATGCCTTGCTACTTAACGGAATAGAAATATAACCGATCAAACGTTTCGATCCATGCCCTTCGAAGTCTGGCCTCTCGTCTGTCGATATTTGTTTCTGAAACTACTGTGCAAAATGGGGTAAATCGCACGTGCCAGAAAATAGAATAATATGGAGGTTGTAAAGAAAGCGAAGTTTCTTACCGCCTGTAGAAATAGGCAATTATATTTTGAACAGTGGCTCACTGAAATCAACATTTTTTGCTCTGGTATAAAGCCAGTCCGTTTCCAACCGCTTCTGTCGTTGCTGCATCTGAACATGAATTATGTTTTTATGCTCATCTTGTCAGGCCTAGTATCGAGTAGACTCTGTCATAGCGTGTGGGTCAAATCCGGCGATTATGCTGGTACAGCAAAGAATGCCAGTTAAATGTTCCGCTGGTTGGGAATACACATGTACTGGTACTTTTCGATTTTAATTTTTTCCAGTGACGGATGCAGATTACAGGAATTCTTGCACAAAACAGTCACCTGTTAAAACCTAAACCCAGCCATTTCTTCGACAGGCTTTCATTCAACGATTCTGCCAGAACACTGACAGCAGCTTGAGCGCGCATCATGGAATTGACATTTGAAAAGAAAAGCTTCCACCCGCGTAGGTTACGAATTCCAGAACGTTGGCTTTTCGGTAACAAGCGTCCAAGGATGTCCTCGTAAATAATTGCCTGCTCTTTCCCTTTGAATGAGGAAACGTTTAAATTTTCATACTATTAGTTTCAACTGTCAGCGTCGTTCCCGTGAAACCTTACCTGACGTGCCATAATCTTATCGCATTGTCTACCTCCTCCGTTCAGAACTGGTAGTGATTCCGTTCCTGACTCGTATCTTCGGCAGTCGCCGCCGTGCTGCTATGCATCAGCTGCTGGAACGCGTGAAGCAGGCTCGTATCTCCTATTTTTCGCAGTCTGCTTCAGTTTCCCTAACAGTCTGCACGGCCCTGAGTCACCGAGGCTACGACCGAGTGTAGCATTTCAGAGAGTAAATATACGAGAGGTAGGTGGCAAATTTTTACGGAAGACTTCGCCACGGTTCCCAGCCCTCCTTCCTTCTCATGCAGTCTTGGCACTGGCAACGTCGGAGTTCAGCAGTTAAACATTTCTTCTACAGTAAAGAGGCGCAAGTGGTACAGATTCATACGTAAATTGGAAGTTATTTGTCCTGCTGAATTTATTCGACGAGGTCATGTTAAGCAAACCACGCTGTGTAATCACAGCTGTTTTTTCTGGTCACGTTTCCACTCGTGATATCGAAGATGCCGCCACATTTGAAATATTACATCCTGAAATTGAAACGAACTGTCATAAGTACCAGGTTTTGATTTCTCAGCCACTCAGCAATCACTCGTTACCACCGACAGAAAGAGTTTCAATGGTCGGTCACCAGAACCGTCCTTGGCTGACTGCGTGCTTTTAGTGACACTGTCAGCTGCTGAACTGAACATGTTTCAAATTATTTAACTGTTAGTTTAAATTTGTTATGGCGCTCATATTACGCTGATTTATTCTGTGACTCGTCACACATCAAGATCGATCGTCGACGCACCTGACTTTACTATAGGCGCATAAGCGCTGTTTGAAGCTGTCAAGGTTCTTTTGAATACCGTTCGGTTTAGTATGCATCTCGAACAGGCAAAAAACGTGGCGGTACATTTAGGTCATATTCAGTTTGCCAACTTTTTTTACCACGTCCTTTATCGCACTGTTCGACCAGTTCTTCGTTGCTTGGAGCAAACCACGCCGTCTTTAAGGTTACTCGCCGATGGAACGATCTTTACTTCAAGATGCGTTCGGAGACATCGGATTTACTTTAGTGTTCCATGCTTCCATTTTTTTCTCCAGAAATTTTCGAACTGCGGTTACATATCTTTACACGATACCACTATGCATTCTTTTTATGGATTTTATCAAAATATTATTTTTTGCCGAAGCCATCCGCTGGGTGTGGATAAACATATACGGCATCTTGTTCACAGTCTTGCTTGTTAAAGATATCGGGTTCATTGTCAAGGCAATTTCATGTTTTTCTGCCTGACTTTTCTGCGTAGTTGTTGGTTATTGTATGACAAAGTTGCTTCAAGGCATTTGCTTTCCATCGAACGGGAAAGAGATGAAGGATGCGCAACGTGCAAAAAACCGAAGTAGTAACATATCTTGATGTCTTGATGCCAAAGCCTACTTATCACACAGCTTTACTGTTAGATGCGCGTCGTTTGATCTCATTCAATTCGATTTAACTCAATAACGGTTGACTCGATGCAAAGCGAAACCCTTGAATTAGAAAGTTAAGAAATTTTTTTCTACTAGAACGTTAATCAGTCGTGCCTAATGTCCGTTTGTAGAGTGCCTTTTATGCAGATTAGTCAATGTGACTGCAGTTTTGTTCCAAAATCATGTCACTTTTCTTAGGCAATTACAGTGTATTATTTAAGGTGTATTATTATTTGCTGATGACTGATACATTTGCACTTACTGCTCCAAAGTCTCATACTGAACGCATATCTTCTTTCTTTTAGTCAATCCTATGATACTGCATTGTAGCAGAAAATAGCTGGCGCTAAAATTGCCGACTTCGTTTCTTAATAACTCAGAATGTGCTAAGTGGCTGACTGACCTGAGATAATTTCGTCGAAGCCTCGTTAATTGAATCTTTCCAAGTCCACATCCGCCGTTCATAGCTACTATGGAGACGAATTGACGAACAAAATAATTCAGCGTATTTCGCGCTGACTGTTGTTCTTTCAACCATAACTGATTCATTGACCGGAACGTCGTGGCACAGTGGCTAAGAAATCTTCTTTGAAAACGTCGAAGGTGCCCGGCTAGAGTCCACTCAGCGGACAATCCTACTTTTTACCGAAGCTTTGATTGAGCAACGAAATAACACCACGTTCCTTCGGCAAAAGCAGTCGAGAAAAGTGCAGTAATTCCGTGACCTGCGAATAAAGGTAACAGCACGGTATTCCGAGCTGGTCATGCCAGAATGGACGTGGAGTAAGATCATCCTGCCCGATGCGAGCGCCTTTTGTGGCTAAATTTCGCCCTTACCTATGTATTGTATGATTGCCCAGTGATATTAAGTACAAGGTGTAATCCCGAATTTAATTCATCTTCATCTTCCACGACCTCTTCCTCTTTCGCGTCGCGGAGGCAGACGCGTCAGACAGAGCTCCCAACGTTCCCCATCCTGTGCCAGAGTCTGAGCTTCGGTAGAAGACAGCTAGAGTCTAGAATAAACTTTTTCCATATGTTTGCACCAGGTTAATCTTGGCCGTCCCCTGGGCCTTCTGCCGGTCGATTTCACAAGAAAGAGTTGCTTAGCCTTCCTTTCTGAAGGCATTCGCAACAAATAGCCAAACCATCGCAGCTGTGACTTCTCAATCTGGAGAAGCAAAGGCTTTATTCCAAGGCTCTTACGAATGTCACTATTCCGGACCATGTCGAGACGCGTAAGACCAGCGACTTGTCTGAGAAAGCCCATTTCACCAGCTTGTACTCGGGTTAGAAGTTTTTCAGTGATGGTCCACGATTCATGACCGTAGGTAAGTATGGGGACAAAGATTGACTTGAATATTGACAGCTTAGTTTTCAGACTGAGCTCTGCTTTAGTCACAGTGGGTCGGGCTAGTTCACACAGAACGCCACTGGCTACTCAAATTCGCCGGTCGGTCTCTTCCTAAGCAATGTTCGCTTACTGGATATAAGTGACTTCAAGCAGTCACATGTACTTAGCCCAGCCCTAATGATGCTAAGGTCTATGTAACGAAATGCGTCGACATAAAATTATTCTACCATCTGTTGTACTTAAATTCATGAATCGTTCAGACACCAATGTATATAACTATAGGCCCAGTATTAAAAACCTGACGTTCACAATTTCAATTCTCAAAGTTTGATTACATAATTAACTGAGATACAGATGAGTTGCATCAACATAAAAAATGACTGACAACAAATTAGAGATTAAATCTACAAACTATGGACACTACTAATAAAAGGTGTAATAAACGTAGCACATATCCCGATTCCAATAAACTGCGGCGCATGATCCACGAGCTGCTTAAAAAACATGCACCTAAAGATATATTTAGCTCGGCGCAAAACATGCACATTGGTTACAAGTGACTTCTTCACGGAAATGCCCTTTTTATGCGCCAGAAAATTTTGTTTTCAAATGACT